CTGCCGCTTCACCTGTGGGGTCGTTATCAGCCTCCTGTTAAACACAACAGTATCAGTCTTAATGAGTGAAATGACCAGTGTTCTAATAAAGCTGTAGTTCAGTGTACATGCAGTGATCAGAGGTGTTTACAATCTCTCCAGTGGGATGTCAGAGAAGAGACATGACTAAACTCATCATATCACTGGGAAAAACACTTAAATAAAATCTGAGTGGTAGAAGAAATGAGAGTTTTTTGAGAAATAAAAAAGGCATGTGGCTCAGTTTTAAACGAAAACACCACAATTGGAGTAAATTAATGCTTACATGCAGGTTTTAACCCCATACAGGGAATCACACCACTATAACAAATGTTTAAAAGAACAAGATGTATTCTCACCTCGTAGTCCATCTCGAGACAGGCAAACATGGGGTTCTCAAAACCCACATCCACCCCAACCACATGGTAGACCAGCGTGTTGGCCTTGTGTGCTTCCAGAGGGGAGGAGATGGTGAGGCGAGCGGCCGCATCTCTATTCAGGATGTACACCAATTTCTGCTTCTCTATAGCACCTGTACGTAAAAGCCCCAAAGGTCCTTTAATAATACACGGATTACTCAGAGGCACGTAACGTTGAACTAGTGAGAACTCGCTTTACTACAAAAATGCAGTTTGGGATTAAATAACACAGTGTTTCCTAATGATGGAGCGTCCCGAACGTGTTAGTGTTCTCCCTGCGTCCAACTCATGACTCATCACAATTACCACCCACCTATTCGGTTTTTTTTATAATGCTGTGTTAGAGAAGGGAAAACACCACATGAGTAATTGCAGGTGGTGTACTCCGCAATCCATGATCAGCAATACAGACACTGCATAAAACACTCTTCAGACCTGCCAGCGGATTCACAATCAATTTTATATAACAGCAGAGTCACAGGTGATATACACGCAGCCGAAATACAATTTCATAGAGTAGAATCTCTACGTTTTGCCCATATACACATAAAATTAAACACCATTCCTTTTTTAAATGCTACTTCAAATTATTTAATTTGCAGTACTTGGACACCAAATAAATATCCCAAAAACCTCACATAAGGAAAGATCAAGTTTGTGTGTACAGTAGAAAAACAATACATTAAAAACAACAACCTTCCATAGAAGTCATACACAAAGGTGTTTTACATAATAGAACGAGATATAAGGTTTCTCTGGCAAACAGTTTTAGCCTGCAGCTCAACAACATGTATGGTCTTGCCTCTGTTTTGTGCAAGTGAACATATTATATCCAGTTATTCTGAGAGACATATCAAATATCTTTAATGGAATTTAAATAAAAATTTACTTTGGTCTTTCTTTCAGTATGAAAGGGTGTTCTCATCCACTGAATACATCTGTTTAAAACAGCTCTCCAAGATGAGATATATATACGAAAATTGTTGGTCATGAAGCATTTCAAATGAAACCTGAGACAGACAGCATTTAAATGACAAAACTGCTGGATCTGGTGCATAAAGCACCCAAGAGACAAAAGTAGCATTTTGTTTAACAAGTTTCACAAATGATGAAAGTTGTATCTCAAAGGATTTTCCTTAATATATCTACAACACATAAAAACATGATTGTTTATCATACGTTGCTCATGTACATACTTATAAGCGTAAACTGAAGGCCTCAAACAATTAGCCTCTGAAGTAAGATAAAGAAATACTTTTATGTCATTTGCCATAAAAGGCAGAAAATACATCATTTTTGTGAGTAATATAGTTTGCCTAGCATTTTGGAGACCTAGGAGAGGCCATGTTCTCAAATCTTGCATAGTAAAAGCAGACCTACATTAACTGAACTATTTTCTGAACTCTAGATTTCAAAGTGCAATGAACAGAAGTACACGTGTTTTTTCGAGTCAATATTCTGAACACAGTATATAACTTTTAAAATGAGATTTTTCTTGCAAATTTAATAGCTTCTTTGTAATATTACACAATACGATCAGCTCGAGTTTAGGTACTGGCTGAACAGCCTTACGATTTAGATATATAATTTCAGGTGGGGGGAAAAAATAACGAGTACAGATTAAACGGAAAAGGTTAAAGGGTGAAAAATCTTACCGATCATAACAGCTCTGCCTTTGGGATCCACAGCCAGGAACTGTCCTGGAACAATGCGTCGACAGCCACTCTTGCCAAAGGTCTCCTGGTGCACCTTTTCAAACATGTTCTTGGAGGGGTGATACTCCAGGATAACGATACGACCTGAATCACTGCCCACCACGATGTAGTCTTCAATTTAACAACAGACAAAAGAGCACAACAACAAAATGAGACACAGGGCATTCTAACGTCAAAAGTGGAACGCACAAAAAGTCAAGGACAAAAACAATTCTACTCAATTTCTAAATATACAGCAGATGTGTGCATCAGGACTGGGATTCTGCAGGACGCAACAACAAAGTTGCTTGAGTAGGTGTTTTTTTTTTTTTTTGTGGGCAGCCACAAAGATATGAAACTCACATGACAAAGAAAGACCCCTTCATTTACAGTGTATACGATGCTTGTGTGTGATGCATTTACTGCTTTCATTCATTCATTCATACATCAGTTACTGCTTTATCCTGGTCAGGGTCACGGTGGTTTAAATTACTTACTGAAGTATATGCTGAAAAATACTCCCTACTAATTTTCTCAAAAAATGCAGGAAGAAACAATAACTGCTTGAGTGTGCGGGATTGGCCAGACTTCTGCGGGAGCAGCAGGGTCGCTCAGAATTTCTTCCGAAGCCAGTGGGAATGGGATTTTAAAAAAAAAACAAAAAACAGACCCATGCACACCTCTAAAACACAGATCACAGTTGCAGCAAATAAAACTCACCTTTTGTGCCACCAGTCAGCCTGAAGGCCATGAGAGAGCGGACTATCCCAAACACCTCCATGGTGAGAAGTGTGTGAACTTTGCCTGTGTTTGCATCGGGACGCAGCAGCTCCAGAATCTTCCCTCGAGAAACAACAATCTCCTGCTGCTTGGTACCTAAAGTAAAAGAATATGATATATCAATACTAACTGCACAAGATTGTTAGGCAAAAAGAAAGCACAAGGGATTTGTTAAATGAAATAAAACCACAATGTCATACAGATGCATTCAATACAGATATGAAATGCTGTGATTCTTCTTCTTCTTAGTGAAAATCAGAGGGAATGAGCTACCTGAGAAGTTGCCATGGATGGCATGAGTGATGCCTGTAGCACGCTGCAAGGTCAGATTGTACAGAAACATGATCAGTGTCTCTGGACCTTCAGCTCTGGATGGAGAAAGTTATCTCTTCACCTGGAACCACCAAAAAAAAAAAAAATCAGTGGGCGAGATTAAAACAGAGAGAACACTCTGACCATACACAAGCCTGTATAAACTGAATACTCTGAGGATTACTTGGATGATGAGCAGTGTTGCATGCTAAGCTACAAATACTCCTAGCTTAGCCGCTAAAACAGTGTCTAACTGCCGGCTTTCTAACACTTCTAGCTGTTCTGGGTTTCAAGCACACAGAACATAAAGAACTACATCGCTTTTATTAGGAAACATAACGGTTATAAACCAGTAATATGACTTAATGTTACACTTTCACACCAAACTAGCTAGCACATTAGCTAAGAAACTACTGACTCGTTTGAGGAACTCTTAAACGGTTCTGAATTCGCTGTTAGCAGCTTCGCTTACATGGGGAAACTTTGTCATTAAATAAACACAAGTTTGGGCTTTTAGGTTAAAAATGAAGTTCAAAGTTATTAAACTCCACAACACACTGAGTGACCTGCTAGCCATTTGGTTAGCATGTTCATTCATAACTAGCCTGTGTAGCTAATGTCGCAGTCTGACTCTAATTTGCTCTTTTGTGTTTCACCCAGGCACATTCATCAACAATATCATTCTCTGATATCTATTTGTAGCGTACGGAAACATTTTACCGATTTTACTACCAGGATGGTGCAGATATCGACAGATGAAGAACTCATTCAAAATATTAACTTCTCCGCTTGGTATTTTGCAAACGCCGCTCTAACGATTAGGGTCCTTGCGGTTCTCCAAGGCGCGTGTTAGCTGTCCTACAGGATGCCTGTCGGAAATGATTTCACTGATGTTACACTGCATGTTAAAAATGATTTATTTTAATTTTATTGTATAGAACATTGTATTAAAACTGTTTTCCAGCATAGTACTGTGAACATTACGTAATATGAAATATGAGGAATGGAGGAAATTAAATATTAGAAAGGCATTTCGTATCAGTATAGTAAGGTTTGTATAGAGATGGGTCAGATAATGTTCTCCTAACGTTAGAGGAACCATCCCAGGATAGTGCTCAGAGGTTCCTGAGAGGTTCAGTAATAATAATTTAAAGGTTAGCAGAATGTTAGGGGAATGCTCTCTGAACTATAACCAAAGGCAACCGTTATATTTTTGTAAAGAACACTGGAAAAAAAAAAAAACTAAAAGTAACTAAAAAAAAAAAAAAAAAAAAAAAAAAAAAAAAAAAAAAAATTTTTTTTTTTTTTTTTAAATAAATAAAGATTTTCTCAGAATATTTCAGTAAGTTAAAAAAAAAAATTCCCCAGAACCTTCTGGTAACCAGCAATTGTTAGGTGGATAAATAGTGTGTTTACGACTATAGGGGAATAAGTCAGTTAAAATTATACCTTTTACATAACGAACACAATAAACACACATTTGCTATAAGGTTTTTACAGCTGAGGCAGGTTATGATCATTTTATTCATCCATTAAAACCTAGTACTGTCAATGTATGTTTACAGGAAGCAGTGAGTTTGATTTCTGTGGTGATGTTATAAAGAAGAAGAAGTAGCCTTTATTTGTCACATATACATTACAGCACAGTGAAATTCTTTTCTTTGCATATCCCAGCTTGTTAGGAAGTTGGGATCAGAGCACAGGGTCAGCCATGATACAGCGCCCCTGGAGCAGAGAGGGTTAAGGGCCTTGCTCAAGGGCCCAACAGTGGCAACTTAGCAGTGCAGGGGCTTGAATCCCTGACCTTCCAATCAGTAACCCAGAGCCTTAACCGTTCAGCCACCACTGCCCACTGTCCTAAAGAGGATGCATGGGCCACAGAGAGCAAGAAAAAGAAAAGTTTGAACAAAATATAGAAAAGTTGTTAACAGATATTGACAGGTGTTTGGTTTTTCAACTCCATCAAATTGCTAAATGAATGTTACATAGCTTTTGTTAAACATGTTAATACATAAAACATGTAATAAAACACGTTGGATGTGCGGTTATAGGAAATTAATCAGCAACTGGGTGGCGTAATGTGCTAGTTGATTAACAGAAGTGGATATGATGGATAGGACTCTCAGGACTAATTGGTGCTATAGATTGTCCTCACAATCCAACCATCAGTCCTGAGGCTATTCACTACTTCAGCTCCAGGTATTACCACCTGTCCATTGATTTGACTGATCTGTACTGATCTTACACGTACAAGAATGTGCGTAGCAATTAGTCAAAATCTTTCACATTGTGTCTGCATGCATTATACACTGATTTGCTACCTAGAATTAGCCTTCGTCCCGACCCTAGATGCAGACCCCTCCCTGACCATTCCTGACCACCCTGGCAGAATAAAAGATAAACTTCATTCATTCATCTTCAGTAACCACTTTTTCCTTGTCAGGGTGATAGTGGATCTGGAGTTTATCCTGGGAACACCGGGAATGAGGCTGGAATACGTCCTGGATGGGACGCCAGTCCATCACAGGGAACACACATTCACACAGTCATTCACAGCTAGGGGCAATTTAACATTGCCAGTTCACCACACAGCATGTATTTGTGAGGTGGAAGGAAACCGGAGAACCCAGATGAAACACATGTGGATACACAGAGAAAATGCATAGAATCTCCACACAAATAGTGATGTAAGCTCAGTATTAAAGGGGGGACCCTGGAACAAATTACAGTAAAATCACTAGAACATAATACGTGGGGGATGGGGTTCAAATACATAGCAAGATTTCTCTTTTGGGGGCAGCGTGGTGGTGCATTACATAATATTACCATCTCATAGCTCCAGGTTTCAGTCCTGAGCTCAGGTTACTACCTGTGTGGAGGTTTGCCTGTACACCTTGTGTTCGCTTGGGTTTCCTCTGGGTTCTCCGGTTTCCTCCCATCATCCAAAAAAAAAAAAGCAGGTTACCAGGATTGGCTTCAGATCCACAGTGACACTGATCAGGATAAAGTGGTTACTAAACATTAATCTTTTTTCATATTTGAAGTAACTGTTCTATTTCCCAATAAAAAATATTTTTAAAACAATGTTATCTAATTTCAAGCCATAGCAGAGGTATGTTGGAGGTTCATAGGGATGTAAAAACTTGATTCTTCCAAAGAAATACACATGGTTGTTTATTATGTACATGAAAACTTGTATTTTTTATACTCTGCTTGCATTTTATCCCTCAATTTCATTCCTGCTTGTTTCCCCAAACTGTAACTGAGAAATTCACTCAGCCTCATGTATTGCACCGCTGTGGTAAAGCATGTACACATACCTTGTATTAAAGAGCCATGACTGGAGTCAGAGTACTGGCCACACTGGAGCCCCACCATGACAGAATACCACGCATGAGCTTTTTTTGCAATCACCAGCTCTACCCATATTGTGGAAAAGAATACTGCGGGTCCTTCATATGTACGGCTGTAAGGATGTGTAACACCTGGACTTTGATAAGTCCATCCAGCCACTGTACCTGCATTCATTCAATATTAGTACCGTACAGTCACTGTTATATTGCAACGTAGCTCCAAGCACTACTTTACCTTTGTACTTTCACACATACGGACCATAACCTAGAATATTTCACTAGCTCTTTATGTTTGTGCACTTTCTAATATTACTGTCCTTCAATACATACAGTCTCCTCCAAAAGTATTGGAACGGCAAGGCCAATTCTTTTGTTTTTGCTATACACCCAAGACATTTGGGTTTGGATATGAGAGGATAGATCAGAATTTCAGCTTTCATTTCCTGATATTTACATCTAAATGTGTTGAACAACTTAGAACATGGCACCTTTGGTGGCAGACCACACGATATTTTAGGTGAGCAAAAGTATTGGAACAAATAAATAACTCTTAATATTTGGTTGCATACGCCTTGCTCGCAATAACTGCATCAAGATGGTGACTCACTGACATCACCAAACTATTGCATTCATCTTTTGTGATGCTTTTCCAGACTTATACCGTAGCTTATTTCAGTTATTATTTGTTTTGGGGGGTCCCCTGGATGGGACGCCAGTCCATTGCAGGGTACCAAGCAGATATACATTCACGCAGTCATTCACACCTGGGGCAATTAGCCAATCCACCTCCCAGCATGTATTTGCAAGATGGGAGGAAACTGGAGAGCCCAGAAGAAACACATGAGGATGCATAGAGAAAATCCACAGAATCTCCACACTGACTGTTACCTAAGCTCAGGATTTAGTGTCCCCTTTGCTGTTACAATAACAGCCACTCTTCTGGGAAAGCTTCCCACTAGATTTTGGAGCGTGGCTGTGGGGATTTCTGCCCATTCAGCCACAAGAGCATTAGTGAAGTTGGGCACTAATATTGGAAGTGGGGTTGAGGTCATTGTCATGCTGGAACAGGTTTGGGCTTCAGTTCCAGTGAAGTGAATTCTTAATGCTACAGCATACAAAGACATCCTGTACAATTGTTTATTTCCGACTTTGTGGCAACAATTTGGGGAAGGCCCACTTTTGGCCATATAGTGTATTTGTTGTCCTACGTATCATGCTACAACCATTCATTTTGTATTCTTGTCATATTGACACTACTATGGTCATATTTAACTTTACATATCTATCTTCTCTGTAACACTTCCTGCTGTAACTTTAAATTCCCAGTGAGTTAATAAAAGCTTATCTTATCAGCCTTAACCTGGAGTATGTATGGCATGCAGGTGTGCATACCAGTTCTTTTTAGGTCAAGCTTTTCAAAAGTGTCAATAAGCGTGTGTGAATGTGTGTGTGCCTGGTGCCCTGCGATGGACTGCTAGGGAGAGGCTTGGGATCCACTGCAACCCTGATAAGGATAAACCGGTTAGTGAGCGAGTGAGTGAGTGAGAGTGATTGTCTAAAGCAAAGAAAGTTAAGAAGTCTAGTTAACTGCAGCTGTATTCGTTAGATTTTCTTAAGCAGGAACATGGTCAGGAACCCAGTCTGTGTGAAACCTACTTCATGAGACAGGCTAGAGGTGTATTAACATAGCAGTAGTGATTCTATCCATGTTCTGTACCGCTTATCCTACACAGGGTCGCGGGGAGCCTGGAGTCTATCGCAGGGGACTCGGGGGACACCCTAGATGGGGTGCCAACCTATTGCAGGGCACAATCGCACACAATTTAGGACAATTTAGAGATGCCAATCAGCCTAGAACACATGTCTTTGGGCTGGGGGAGGAAACCGGAGTACCCCAAGGAAACCCCTGAAGAGAAATCCCCAGGAGAACATGCAAGCTCCAGGTTCATAGTGCGAGAATCGAACCCTGAACGAACACCTTGCCCCCAAGCATTAGTAATTATTAATTAGTAAAATAGTTCTATTTTAGATCAAATGATATATTCCTGTTTGATTTAATCTGTTTATCTTAGCAAGGTAATAGTTAAATCTTGCACCTAATGTAAAATCTGATACCATCAGCAAGACAGCCACAGTAGCAGTGTACATTAGGATTTCATCCACACGATGGTGCTATTGTATCCTCCGTGTAAATAATCCATGCCATCTCGTCATGCTGGAATTCAGATGAGGATGAGATGGTGACAGACAGAGCAACCAACAAAATCAATTTAGCCATGTCTTTCTGGCTGGAAGACCCCTAACCCTTGGCATAAATGCTCTCTGGTCTTCTCGCATTACAAGCTGAAGGCTGTGATCTCTGCAGAGAAATGTCTAATTGAATTTTGTTTTGTTTGATGGCGAAAATTTTGTTAAACAAAACAAAACAAAACATTTCAAGCGTCTAAGAAAACTTATAATATCCCTGGTATGGTTACCATGCCCATGGTTGTCTATGGTTACTATGGTTACTAAGGTTACTATGGTTACTATGTCCAACACCGTTTTGTACATGTAAATAAGAAGCAATGAAAATGCACAGAGAGAAAAATCACTGCTCTGTCACCCTGCTCAATAATCTTCTGTACAGACGCTCGGAGGGCAGTGCATCATGGGAGATGCTGGTTCAAAAACAAAGTATGCTTAAAGCCTTGTATTGTGTATGCACTTCATTTTCAAAATGCAGTATTATTCATTTTAAACCTAATCTAAATTTAAGCATCTGTTTTTTTTATTCTGTTCATTGGCTAAAGGTTTGGCAAAACGGGATGGTGGAGCCAGCAGGGGAGAACTACATTTCCCAGCAGCCTGTTCGGTGAGGTGTGGGAATGCGGGTGGCAGGGGTGCCTTTTTTCGGGGATGCTCTAATCCAGAGCGGTCCTGTGTGAAAGATCCAGGTGGACGGATTGTCCTCCACACAGGAGTTTGCAGTTAAAGCAGGGAGGTGCGCTGTTAGATTTCCATCCGGACAGCAACAGAGGCAAGAGAGAGCGAAATTCCGCATCACATCTGGACAGAGAGGAGACATCGACTAGCATCTGAGGCTCCATGTGAATATTCATGCTGCAGCGCGTTAGCAGCATC